AGTGCTCAGGTGTTATTCCTCCGTACCCAGTAAATTCTCTCCCTTCATCATGATGAGAATGATAACAAGCCAGTTAGCTTGTTATCATTCTCATCGATTACCCTTCACTGGTGCTCTGCCAGCGTATCCCGTTAGCGCAGGCGGAGTTACCATAAAAAAAAAACAAGCAAGAGGTCTACTCGATGGGAAACTATAACCATTGCTTTAGACATGAACATTATCATAGGCATCATAGAATATATACACTGGGATTTATTTTTTATTGCTACTTATGAAGAATTGAAGATGAGTGAATTATAATGACCCTGTATTTTTAAACCATATTCCATCCTGCAAATTAAAGGAGCATAAAAATCACAGCTGCTTCATGGCTGAAAGAAGGGCAGGATAGGTTTTTGTAATTTTGGTAATTGGAGCTGATTATTTTTAAAAGGATAAAAATGGAATGATAACCTCTCCTGCGTTAGTGGTATACTCTGGCGGAGCATCAGCGAGGATTGATAGGCGGGGCTTAAACGGATCCGAACAGTAAACTGGCCCGTCGTACTGAATTCATCAAAAATTAATCACGATAGATTCCAGGAGGAACCTTGTGAAGGTTAACTTGTTCGGATATTTTGCTATTAAGGGAACTATTAGATCTCATTACTAATATTCCTTTTTCCTCCTTATTGAGGCTGTTACCTCAATAGGCATTGTTATTAATGTTAAGGTGAGTGTGAGATGTTGCCAAGTATGGTAAAAGACGTTGTTGGTTTTGTAGTAACACGCCAAACTTCGCACTGATTCATTAACGTTAATGTATTCTTAACATCACCTACTTTTAAGTACAAATAATACGCACGCGTAGGAATTGTTATATTAATTAGGTTATGAAATGAATATTAACATACAACAAAATTGTTATGTACCTACGGCTGTAGCTGAATATAGGATTTTTGTACAAAATCTCCTTCTAGTAAATGCAAAAAAGTGTAAATACCTTCCCTTAGCTTTTCACTTTTGCTTAGTTTATATAATACTTATATTTATATAATATTTATATTTTCAATGAAACAGAAATATTTATTTATATATTCTTTAGTACAAGATATGCGAACAAAACAGTCCTAATGTTAAAGTATTCTCCTCTAGTTAGACTTAGGGAAGTGTTAGAATACTTAATTGTGGTACTAGTATTAATTAATATACATACATATTCAAATTTACATAAATACAGAAATAAATATATATTAATAACAAATATACTTTCACATATATAATATATACTATATGTATTAGATACGTAGATAAAGGACAGTAGATTATTGCTCGGATAAAGTATGAAAGTGAATATGAACCTTTTTTTTGAATGACGGTTTAGACGGAAGACTCTTGATGGTGTTAGGGTTGCGTTCAAATATCAATATTAAAAACCCCATATAGCACCATGTGTGTATACAAAAAATTCGCACTCGGAATAAATGATCACACTCCGGGAAAATTCAGAAATAGAGGGCGATTGGATACGGTTCGAAATGGTATGTGAAAATTGCACCGTACGCCGCCGGTCTATTTCCCGGGAAATTAACCCGGCGTGCCCTGTGCTTAGATGTTATCAATTCTCAGGTAGGGATATAGACAAATCTATTCTTTCGTTGGTATGTGAAATTAGAGAGGGTATTATATATATACACATATATGTATATACATATATGATGAAATAGGAAAATGTTAGCCTTCTAAGCTGTAACCGGATATTTTTTCCAACGACATTTTTAGCCTTCCATACTTACACGTCTATTAGTTTAGTAGGTTGACTAAACATTTTCATTCAAATTAGTTTTGGATAATTTAGTTCATTATACACTCCATAGTATACTCATTAAAATTTTATCAAAATTGGTTTAACAGTATTGTTTTTAAATAATAAATAAGTGGTTCTGCCATAATTGAATTCGGATTTTTGTGAAACACGATCTTAATTAACATGATATATACATAGAATGGCAAACAGGCTAATGATCCACCTCATGGAAAGCGCTAACCATTGCATATAAACATGAACAGCACCACAGGTATCTTAAAATACACTGTGATACCCATGGTGCTTGCCTTGCGTTGTCGTTCTCAATTATACAACTATACAATCAGAACTGCTTTACGACAGAAACACATTTATTCTACATATAAGCTAACTATTTAATTAAATTCTTAATACCAGAGAGAGACTTTGTACAAAAGTCGTTTGCTACCTCTGGCACATTCGTATTTCTACCGTAAAGCAATTGTGTTTGCATTGTGCTGTGTTTCGGTTTGAAGAGTGAGATATGACAGTGAATTTATAGGGTACAGAGGAATAACACCTTAATCCTCAGAAATAACAATGCTTGAAGGGGTATCATGGGCGAAACAGTATACTCTTTTTATGTCCATGGTACCGGTCATATTTATAGGTGACAGTTACCGCTTTCCATCAGGTGGGCTATCAACTTGTTTGCCATTCTAAGTTGCATAATAAAAAAAAATAAAGTCAGTTTTTTTTATTTTCGTATTAAATTTAGTAAACAAGATTAGAAAAAAATTTTAGATTCTCTTGCCCAATTTCATTACGAAGCCCTGAATGTAACTGACGGCAGAGCTTGACGACGTCAAAACACTGTAATTGGATAATATGACGTCCGCAGATATGGGTTGCCGAGAGACATCGAAAATAAAATAAAATCATGTTCTAATATATGTTTTTTTTTTTCATTTAACTGTTAAATATGACATCTATCTAGATAATATGTACATATAATATAATATTCAGATACATGTTTAGTTATACCTTTGTATCTAGCTTATATAATTCAATAAATCTAAAGAAGAGAAACTCAAAACTCTCGAACTCAAAGTCCTTAAATAGGCTTATCACTTTATTATTTTAATAATTCTTTTAAGTCTTGTACTACTAAAAACATTTTTTTATTACATACTATTTATATAATGTTACTCTATTTGGTAAAGTGATAAGAAAAATATTTGTATTTTCTATACTAATAATAGAAGGTTGAAAGATTTGTTTGCTTGTTTGTAATGGATAAACTTAAAAACCGAAAATTAAACCGATTTTAATCGTTCTTTCACCTATAGAATATCTATAGTTACATTATCGAGTCACATACATAGTATTTATTGTAATTTGAGTATTTAATAATTTTTACGCGAAATCGTCTTTAATTTTAAAGGTATTTAATGTTTTTTTTTTCAATCTATAGGTTTTTTGTAATATTTGCAAATAAAGAAACAAACTCACTTTGTTTGTTACAGTTTATTTGTTACTTCATAGCGCGTTTACGACTTGATCAATCATTATAAAATTTACTTTACATATACTACGAGTACATGAGACAACTCCCCCCTACCTCTACATGGCAAAACCCCCTAAGGGAGAGGCTTATGTTTAGCAATGGACAGTTAAAGACAGAAAATGTAATGATACTCCATGAGATGAAGTAGGATCCCTGTCAATGAACATATCCCGATTACGCGGACAAAGTGGCATATAAGGGCTTTTATATCTTTAATTTTATTAATATCACAGTTTATAAAGATGTTAAATTACTTAATCTTGTACGCTAAAACTACTAAATCAATTTGTATGAAAGATATATTAATCTAAAGTTGCAGTTGATTAACATAGAAGTTGCATTATATCTTAACTCAGCGGCAAAGCTTTGCATTACTAATAACTTACTAGTAGTTTATAAAGGTACGTACTTAGGTTTAACCAATATAGTATGTAGGTATTTTAACAATTTATAGGCAAACTTATTCCCGTGACAAAATTTGAAGACGGATCACACATCAAATATGTAACAGTGTCGATGTTTACGTAGCTGCAAATACCGAAATCCTTTGATTCGATAGAGGATACATTGTTTAATATAATGGAGACGGTAGAAGAGCATTCCTTACTACCAAAAGGGTAAGGGAATAAGATGAAATTGAAAAGGTTATGGATATTACGAAATATTATAAAAAAGTAATAAATAAAATAGGCGTAGTTATTTTTTTTTTTGGCGCTGTGTCAGTTCAACTGCTTAAAATGAAATAGCATGATATTATTATGATGTTACTTGGGATAGAGGATATAGGTTAGATTTCGTTTCGATTAATCAATATATAAGACGCAGATAAAAATTTAATAATATTTTTTTATGCAACTTAGTATGGCAAACGAGCTGACGGCGACATGATGGAAAGTTGTAACCGTCGCCTATACAAATGACCAGTACCATGGCCATAACATAGTATACTGACGATTAAGATGTTGTGCCTTTGTGCCCTGTAATTTCACTGCCATATGTTATATACTAAACGTGCAAACTAACTGCTTCACGGCAGAGACACGAATGCGTAACCCAAATAAATGACTTTTGTTCAAAGTCTTCCTTTGGTATAATAACAATAAAACAGTAGGTAAATATAAATTACAATATACAAAACTGAGAGTACTAATTTAATTTTTTTTTATACTACTTAGAATGGCAAACAAGCTGACGGCCCACCTGATGGAAAGTGGTAACCGTCGCCTATAGATATGAGCAGTACCATGGACATAACAGAGTGTACTGTTTCGCCCATGATACCCCCCATGCGTTGCCATTCCTGAGGACTCAGGTGTTATTCCTCTGTACCTTGTAAATTTACGCCATATCCCACTCTTCAAACCGAAACACAGCCATGCAAACATAACTGCTTCACGGTTGAAACACGAATGGGACAGAGGTACCCAAGCAATCGACTTTTGTACAGTCTCCCTCTGGTAATTGGCAATGAGGATATAATTAACACTGTACTGAATATATTAACTAAGCATCTATAGATATAATTAACATTCAGATTTTACTCTTTATGTATATATATATATATACCTATACGTCACCCTTGTTTCCTATAGGGCTAGACAGAAATAATAAACGCCAAGTGCTATTGTAAGGCAAAAATGCATAAATCTTATAATTTGTTTGTTACAGAATGCAGAGGCGTCGTATGACTTTAGCAGTAACGATCCATTTCCTTACCCGAGATACACCGATGACTGGTTTAACAGGTGAGTTTAATAAATAAAGTAGAAGAATTATTTATTATTATTGAAATGTTTCTGTAGAATTACTTCGAGTGCCAGTCATAATTTAATTAACTTCTACAGCTTCAAAATTATTTCTTCTTTCAATTTTTAATTTATATTCTGTGAGTGAAATCGAAAATAATTAGCATCATTTGAAAAAGAAAAAACTGTTAAAAGAACCTCAATAAAATTGAACGTTTTATAAAAAATATATATGATGTTAGTTGACGCCAGTTAGACACAGCACGATAGTATGAGAGATATAGCATTGTCGTTTAGAGATCCATGCTTTTTTGCGAAAAATGTTCAGTTCGACTTTTCCTTGAAACTATACAAAAAGTATGTAATACTTTTATTATTATTATTCCAAATTGAGTTGGTAATGTTAAATTAAAATGAGTGTTAATAAACTTTAACGAACAGTCGAAGTATTACCTTATTAAATTCTAAGTAGGTAATTATTTAATAATTTAGGTATTCATATCATTACATTAATTGAAATATCCAATATTTTTTTTGTGAAGGAGTCGTTTGTTATGTATTATACTATTATTAATATTATTATTATTACCATGGATATTAATATTACATTAAATGAAAATAATGTAATTCGGAATTATTTAATTTGTTTTTTGGGTATATAATGTATCTTTTTAAGGTTTTTAAATATAATACAATAAAGTTATGGCATTATAAGCCAATTATAAGTGTGTAGTATATCTATGTACAATTGTACATTATGTATAAGCATATAATTTTGTTTTCAACCAAAATCTCAAATTTCGAAATAGAAATTTATTTTCCAATTTGCATCGGCGTTTGGATATTGGAGCCGAAAGCCCTTGGGATTAAAATTAACAAGATGAGACCTTTTCAGCTGTTTGGTTTCAACGTACCCATTAGTCGATGATTTACGACAATGATGATAATAAATAAAAAAAATATATAGCTATAGACTGAAGTCTAAATTATTAGTAATTATTCAAGCAGTGGTAATAAAGAAATTTCAATATTTTTTTATAAAGAAACATGGGTTGAAAAACAATAAAAAAATAAGTGCTACGCATATAAATATTTGTAGTCCATAATACGGTTGTCTGTACATTTTTTAAATATAATATACAGGTTGATATAAAAATAACTTGATTAATACATTTTTTGCACGTGAAAATTGTTAATTCACTCTTGCTACCCCCTTCTATCTGTTCTCCTTTAACCAAAAGTTGTCTGTAAGAGATTCCTTAAAACGATAAGACCGCCTTTTATACCTTTATGTCTTAGATTGTATAAATAGAGTGTCTCCATAGAAATGATTCGGGAAAAACGGGTCAACATTTTTATACAATTTTGAGTGATAAATAGTTATGAGTGTTTCCTTTATAACTTCTATATTTATTTTGTCTTATAAATTCTGCAACTTTTTAATGGGTAAATACATATTTATTAAATAATACGTGAAGATACATCTTATATGTATGTATATAAAACACAAAAAAAAAACGAATCGGCTGATTTAACAATTAGCGGACAAAAAACTATATTTAATTGTTAATTGTTTATTCTATCTATATAATCTAAGCTTTATGTATAAATTTAAATCTGTAATTTTTGTTACTGTATTTTACTTGAATTGTTTAATTGCAACTGTATATTTTATACTGTATATTTGTTACTGGTGCAATAAAATAGTTAAATAAATAAATATTTAAATAATGTTTTTTGTCGTTTTTTGACTTATGTTTCTTCAGGAAAAATATTTAGTTTAATAGTAAAATTTTGTTTCCTTCAAAGAATGCTGATAATTTCGATTTACCTTTTTAAAAATACCATTTCTATATATCGCCGCTTAGTTTAAGGCTAGATGGCGCTGTATGTTTATTATTTATAATTAATATAATATTGTCGACAGTCACGGCACACGGTGTGCTGGTGAGGTGGCAGCGGCACGAGACAACGGCGTATGCGGCGTTGGTGTTGCTTACCACTCCAAGGTCGCTGGTAAGTTCGTATCGTATCATTAGAAGAAGAATAAAGGAACAAAAAATGTTTTTATTGCCCAGTAAAATATTACAAATAATGTAATCGTCATCAGTAATCATCATCATCATATCAGCCGTTAACTGTCCACTGCTGAACATAGGCCTCACATATAAAGGGGGTTGTACTAGTAGTTGCTATGCTTGGCAAACGGGTTGGCAATTACAGTTAGATTGTTTTAGGATGTTTTAAGAGAGACGTTGCTGTCCATCCCTCGACCATTAAGTTCCCTTAGTTCTATGCCAAGACCACATGGTAACTTATTAAGATAAAATACAGCAGATTTTAAGTTCGACCTTAAGAACGTAACATGCAGGAATATAGTTTATAAGGCAAATTATAATAAATTACTTAATCGTGATCGCATTATGAAGCGACCTATATAAACTCAAAGGTCTGAATAAGCTTATTACTGCGGTGATGGTATTCTGCCACTATCAATTAAGCATCTAATTTGGTTAGCAACAAGGAACTTAAGTCCTAGTACCTAACACACGATAATCCATTAAACTTATATATTATCTATACTTATGAAATACATTATTTTTACTGACTATCGATGCACAGCCAAAAGTACTACGTGTAAGTCTAGAAAATTGAAATTTGAAACATGGGTTTATTTTATAACATAACCATCCGCTAAGTGCTAACAGTACACCCTGTTAGGTTGACCACACGTGGTCCTCCCCTAGTCTATCGTCAGAATTCCTAGTGTATTCATCATGATGGGCTAACTCATTGGTGCCCCACCTGCGTATACCGTTGGCGCAGGCGGGGTTACCATCCTATTATCATCCATAAAAAAACCGTCCGTTAAGAAAGGATTTTTGACAATTTTTACTTAAGGGGGAAACATAATACCACGCGTACAAAACCGCGGGAAACAATTAGTTGTACATAAAGGCTGTAAATATAAAGTGGATACCTTTTAACACAAATTATAAAAATATGCATATTTGTATATTCTACGTTTTGAAATCTTAATATTTATTGTCTGTAATCTTGTAAATGTGAACGTTGTTTAATGTGGTATCGGATTTTCCTAATTACATTCCAGTGACATGTTTAAGAGATAGGTTCAACTGAGTACCTACCTAATTGATTGAGAACAAGAGATACAAATTATTTGTTTCGATGTAGCACGTCAAGTAGCTCTTGATTGTAATTACAGATGGGGTAATTAGAGGCATTTTGTCGGCATTTCGCCAAATATATTTTTTCGATGGAATCGATTTTCTATGATATATTAAGTATTACATCCAAAAATTCTAATGTCTAATAAGCAAATCTACCAACTTTTTTTTATACAACTTAGAATGGCAAACAAGCTGACGGCTCACCTGATGGAAAGTGGTAACCATCTCCTATAGACATGAGCCGTACCATGGACATAACAGAGTATACTGTTTCGCCCATGATACCCCCCATGCATTGCCATTCCTGAGGGCTCAGATGTTATTCCTGTAAATTTACGCCATATCCCACCCTTCGAACCGAAACACAGCCATGCAAACACAACTGCTTCACGGTAGAAACACGAACTTCAATATAATCGACTTCTATGCGGTATCCTTGGAAATTACCGTTGTTACTTTTAGATAATTCGTCATGACGATCTGACTTGACTTTATTCTCACCTATTATTTCTCACTAATATCCTGTATGCCATCAGGTAAACCAAGGATTACAATTCCATTTTCAACCAATGCTGTATAAAAAAAATACAATTATTATACTACAGTTTGTTAGATTTACAAATATATGGTAGAAGAAGATAAACGACGCAATATCTACTGCTATTTATATTGAAAACTAAACGTGCCACTACTAAACTAACTTGCCAGGATGTTACAAAAGCTATTAATCAAACCCTCTTCTGCACCAAGCCCTTTCGAAAATTCCATCTGTAATGCTGTTTTTGTGATTCCACTAAACTTTTCTACGATATTTCATGTGAGTAAGAACTCAGAATCGAATTTAATTCAAAGCCTAATAGAATCCCATGATCTTAATTTATGACCACAATGAATATAGAGTATTTTGTCGTTGCGTATGACTTCTATTTAAATCAATATTTGCCAAGAAATCGTTGAAAACAATTACAGTTTTTTATATTTATTGTAGAAAATACTGCTCTAATAATCTAGTATAACTAAGAAACTGACGTATCAAGTGCCTGTAATGTCTCTAATATGAATAAATGATTGAGGTTTGCCTCTGCTTCCGATCTTCCGTTTTCAAACGAAATAGATGAGAATTTGAAAGATGTTTCAAGTTTTTACGGATCTTAGGCCCAGTCAATATACACTATTATATAAATAAGCTAATTCAATATATATTAATGAAAATATATTTGTCTTTATATAAGTTTATATATGTATATTCATATATATATATATATATATATATATATATATATATATATATATATATATATATATATATATATATATATATATATATGCGTTTATTTATATATTACAAGTATTTTATTATTATTATGTGTAAGTATTATATATTAATTTGTATTGTTTATACTGCGTTTATACTGCTTATTACTTGTTTATCTTTAGCTCTTTTTTCTTTCTTTTTTTCTGTCTTATTATTATTCTTTTACGCTCTAACTAGACACAATTTTCTCTCCATTCTAAGGTTGTCTCGCTATTTAGCAATAAGGCTGCCCACGTTGTCTTTTTATCTTGCTTTTATGTAATTATGTATTAATTTTGTTTGTGTACATATGGAAAATCTTTGTAATCTTTATCATTTTTTGAAAGGAACAATAATTAGTTCCAATTTTTTTTTGGTATTTTTAAGTTTAAATTTTGAATTTAGCAAATCTTTTCTTATAATTTTGCGTTGCTGTCGGGCACAAAATAAATTCAATATTATATAACTGACATGTTAATAGCAAACGTGGCGGTAATAATGAGCTGTTATTTGTATACTTACCTACCATGAAACAGTATAATTATTATACTTTACTATTAATAGAATTTCACTTCACGGAAAACCATACGTTGATAATAAAATGTATAATCAAGCCCGGATGGCACATTACTTATACGCCAGTGATCCGGATGATTGGTACCGTTTTGTCGACCTTATTCATTATTTTCTCTAAGTAAGCTATATGAGTAGTTTGTATATATATGTAAAAGCTGCACAATGCAGTTTAATAAAAATAAAAGAAATCCGATTACTTTTCTGTATAAATATCATTACTTTCTTATTGTATATATTTCATGTAGTTAAAAAAGTTTTGAGTGTTTTTGCTACAAATGAACATAAAAAGAGAAATTTTGCTTACTACATGTGTTACCATGTTGACCAGATAACATGGTTAGGTGTTTGCTTTGAGTTTGCTTCTGTAAATTCAAAATAAAAAGCACGCGCGCATGGTGTATTTTATTTTAAATTTTTAATCATCTCTTCGCATTTAGGATTGATTTTGCCGCTCTAGACATTTGCTTAGTTTATTAGGTATCTTTGATGAAAATCCTATAAACAAATTTAAAAAATACTCGAAAATCATTCATCGTGTTAGCAATTTAATTTACTCGTAAATAAAATTTGAAAATTGAAAAATCTCAACGAGTAAAAAATCGGCAAGGTATATTTAGCTCTTAAATCTAATTATTTAAATACGTACTCGTATTTACAATTCATAATTGCTGTAATTTTGTAAAAATAAAAGAAAACCGGTTACTTTTTCCATATAAATTTCATTACAAAACACACGACGCACTTACAAAGTTTGTTAGAGTGGCCCTTGTCTACGGCAAAGTCGCTAAGTCCTTGGAAAACAACGACCCAGCTTCTTCTATTGTTTCAGGACCTTTTTAATGACTATTCTTTTGTTGTGAGACAAAATGCTTGTCTCAAAGTTGATATGACAGATATTAGCGAAGCTCTCAAAATCTGTAATCTCTCTAAAGGATCTGCGACAGAATTTATATGAATAAAATACTGTAAAAGAAGAAAAAATACGTTACAAAATCCATCGAGACAAAATTTCTTTTGCGCATTGAATCTATGAATATCAACGTCGCACACTAATTTGATAAAATGTTTCAAAATAAATCTAAAAATAAATAAATAAATAGATGATGTTGATTATCTACCTTAAAAACATTTATACCGAAACCTGCCTACATCGACCTTATCTGTTAATTTTCAAAAACAAACATTTCTCAATGTTTCTTTAATTCTAACGAAAACATCATTAGAGTTAATATTTTTTATTAGATTTTGTTTTATTTTTTCAACTGTTTGTTACAATTTAAAGTTTTAAGTACGCATGCCTGATTCTATCTTAAATAATAAAAAATCAGAAGTTCGTATACAATTGTTTGGTGGCAAAAACAAGATAGACAGCACTACTCAAACAAATTACTTTTATACACTCTTCCACATACATTCTATCTTTTAAATTTCGATTCAGTAATACTAAAATTCAGTATTTAAAATTTATATTGATAAATGTTCATATTTCCTTTTCCTTTATACTCTGGTGTTGCGGGTAATCATGGGCGCCGGTAGTTACTTACCATCAAGTGAGTCGTAAAACTGCAAAATCACTGCAAAAATTCGGTGATGATTCAAAAGAGGCACTGCTTCCCGTCCCTCGACCATGAATGACTGTGTGTTTAGTTGTTTAGTTAATTTAGTAGTACCACTAGTGAAACGCCCAATTTTAGGGTAAATTGAAGTTCTTACGTCATTTAACTCTATGTATGTCTTCATCCCCAAGGTAAACAATCCTGTTTTCCCGTTATATCTATCGAGTAAACAATCTATCAATATCTTCAGTACTTTGCAAGTAATGTAATATCAAAATTTTAGTTATTAATCAGTGTAGTTAGCCTCTGGGGTTTTATTTTCTATACGTATGTTATTACTGATAACTTTGATTGGAGCCTATAAATAAAATATTTTTCATTGATATAATAACCTGTATGAAGGTAGCCCATAAAGTGAAATGTTTCAGGATTCTTTTGACTAATTGAGAAAAATATATTTTATCCTGGTCAATTTAATGTATCCTCGTTACCCGGACAAAGACGCAAGTGAAAATTAGTAATTCATATTTTTTCATTTTAAAGTTAAGTTTGATATGTTATTTTCAGTCGTGTCAATTTTGTTGAGAGCATTAAGAGCAAATTGACGTATTCTTTTTTTTAACAATGAAGCAATTTCCGAGAAAATGCGAAAAAAATTAGTCGTGCCCTCATGGGCACTTTATTCCATAATTGGGTCATATTGATCGAGTCGGCATAAAAAGACTATATAGACTTTTTATATTAATTAATTAAAATTTTCTTATTTTGGCCAATATTTGAATATGGCCTCTGGATTTCATTTCTTTATATATAATGGGAAAATATGTACATAGTCGCAATTTTTTTTGCTTTTATATACAACTTCTTCTATGAATTAAATCGATAGTTTTAATTTTCTTTAGGAGCACACTTTAAATAATCATAGTAACTGTAATATTATTTAAATAATATTACAGTAACATACAAATAATTTTACACACTCTCCCGCACACATACATTCAAATTACACTCTACACATAGGGAGCACATTATTTCACAATTTTCATTATTGCCAATTGTTTAATTATAACAATTGGCAATAATGAAAATTGTGATAAATTGTGATAAACTAACTTTATATAAAATCAACATTCTATATGTAGTACTAAAAATTTAGCTGAACTAATATTATACTATGTAATGAGGGTTGAGCGCTGTTGTCTGAGATACAGGTTTTATAACCTAGTTCAGACACAGATGTTTAAACTGATCCAAATGTACAAATGAATTCGTATCTACTTTTACTGTAATTTCCAGTGCTGAGTTTGTTAAAATCATGGTTATGCAATAAAGTTATTATTATTATTATTATAGAGAAATATTGAAAATTATTCAATTGGTTTTAAAAGTAGACAGCCAATTCAAACGTTGTTATCTCTCTGATATGAATGTTCATAATCCTATATCACTTTCAATTCCCTCAGACAGGTGTGTTAGTACGTAACCAGTTTATTTACAGAATGACGTGTGAATTACGATAGCATACCTTATGTAGGTGGTATTAACGTCATATTCCCTCATCAACAATCCTATTTCTAATCTTCTGTCACGTCACGTACGGAAACGTCACGGTATGGAAGTATGATTGACGTGCGCTATTGGCAATTGTGGATTATTTGAGCATTCGCATTACTCAGCAAGTTGAATAGTAATATTTCTTAGATTGATTGATTTCAAACTTGAGACAGATTGAATAAATATCATTTTATGATGGTTTATATGAAAAAAATATTTACATCTTATTATTTTATTATTATTATTTTAGCCAGGCAACTGTCTACTGCTGGACATAAGCCTTACCTATAAGAGGAGTTTTACCAGTAGGTGTCATGCTTGGAAGGCGGGTTCGCAACCACAGTTAGGCTTTTAGAGATGTTATAAGAAGGATATTGCTGCCTATACCTCGTTCTCTCTTAGTCGCCTCTTACGACACCCACAGGAAGGAAAGGTGAGCCATTCTATGCTGGGACCACACGGCGATTTACGTCTTATCATTACATGATATAGATTTTTTACATAATGTATCTAAATGTTTAGTAATCAAGTGATGATGGTACACGGTCGACACAGTATAACACTTGTATTACTAGTGTCATTACACTCGATTTGCTGATATTTATGATACAAATATCTTGAGTTAGTGTAATATAAAATTTCTTAAATGTCACCCTAAATGGCTTACTTAGTTTTATTTTTAGTTTGAGCTGTTCAAAACTCGCAACTTTCTTTATGTAAACGAACCTTATACAAAGTTTCCAGTTCATCCACAAGATTCTCGGATTTTTCTTTACAAACTCAATTTGAATAAGTCATTCTAACAAGCAACCAGATCTACGCCCGTCTGGATCATCGGATATCCCTCTGTAAGGCTCTGTAACTTAGCTTCAGCCCGACTTTATCTCTTCATGTCCAATTCTATTTTCATGTCGATCTAAATGGAAATCATTTTTAAGCGACTTCAAATAGAAAAAAATTTCCATTTCGTTTGTATTTTTTATATTTGTTACCTCATAACTCCGGCATATATAAACTGATTTTGAAAATTATTTTTTATCTAAATATATATATATATATATATATATTTACAGATTGGTCCCATAGAAATTCTATCAGTTCAGCAATTTACTTTTTAAATCAAAATAACTAATTTTACCATAACTGAAGTCTTTTTTTTAACATAAACTTAAAGTATTTTAAAAAAGATGTTCCACTAGTGTAAGTAATCATTCTTTCAAAAGAAACAAGGTCCTTGAACGATGGATTTATTAGGAAGATCGTAAAGGCGCAAAGTTCTGCGTGTAGATAGCTCAAAGTATATGTCCAGAATTCCCAGCTACAACATTGCAATCTATCAGTAGATGACATAGTCTTGATTGCTGATGCAAGTATGCCACGGGACACTAGTTATTCGACCTAAAGGCCGAATAACTAGTGTTTCTTGGTCATAAAAGAATAGTACGTGTGGTGGAAGTAGCCACAATTGTGGGGTTCTTAATCGTCCTACGTGTAAACTTATCAAGATGTGTTCATCTGTTTAAATACTTTTTGATTTAATATATCGATCGAGAAAAGATCAAAAAATATATATTGTAAACAAAACATGTTCAACTATCAAGTTTATAGCAGTAGTTAGACAGCTTTTTTTTTATGAAAGCTTATATTTTTTTATCGTATGAAAAGAAAATAAAAGTAATAAAAAAAGACTGCAATGAAACGGTAGGTGGATGGATACTTACGTATATGTGCTAAAAATACACCATTGAAAACTCACTTAGGCGGATTAAACATGTTACTTAAAGGTGGGAGATACGAGATTGAGGAAAACTAAGTATCTATTGGAAAAAAATGTGTTCTGTAATTCAATATGATTAATATCTGTTAATGGCTCTGAAAAAAAACAATTTTTTGATTATAATTTAAATGCAATGAGTTTTTTTTGCATTTAACAGTTAAAATTATTAACAAAGATCACGCAGTATTAAGTTTGGCACCTGGTTAATTGCCTTAAGCGATGTAGGCATGCAAATACTTATATTTTGTAAAACAAGTGAACATACATGGTAATGCACATGTCTATAGGCGACGGTTACCACTTTCCATCAGGTAGGCCGTCAGCTTGTTTGTCATTCTAAGTTGTATAAAAAAAGGTAAAATTATGATATAATTTTATGTTATTAAAATTACGATTACATTTTAAAAATTAAATTAATGTTACATCATTTTACATTATCATGCCACATATAATAATAATACTTTAAATAATCACAATCACAAAATAATTAATAGCGAAGTTTAATACTGTTAGGGAAATACATATCTGAATATATGTATAAGCAATTCTGTAATAATATTTAATGTTGTTTAATTAAATATAGGTACATATTACTATAATTATATTCTTTATTCTTCATTCATATAGTGTTATAGTTGTATGCATATAGTATCATATTTGTAATATTATTTATGTCCTACTAAATTTTAGCCACTGAGATATATTTATTCACTAGGAATAGCTTATATTCTGTTCCATCCCAAATGGTATAAATATACCAAACATGACAATATGTTGAGCTGTCAGCGACAAGAGGTAACAAATAAGTGCATTTAGTTCCACATTTATAATATTATTTAAAACTAAAATTCAACTCACTTTCGATGATATCAAAATGTGTGAAAACTAGCACTTAAAATAACATACGGGTAGATAAGTATATAATAGTAATTTGATTGTTATCAGTAATTTTTTTAAATCTCTCGATGTATTTATAACGAAACTGACAAATCTTATAAAGATAAAAGTTTCTTTACAAAATTAATGATTCTTTACGAAGTTAACGTATATTTTTTTAAAATAAATTAATAAACAGGAAATTATATGTATTTACTATGCTTGTCGTTTTCGACAATTGTTTAAAAAGCATTCTTAAGTTTTTTCAGGTGACGTACCGCACTTTGCGTTCCAGCGTCTCGTCTTGCATTCACATATCCTGTTATTTATATATTCATATCAGCCGTTAACTGTCCACTACTGAATAGGCCTCTCGTATATGAGGGGGTTTGCCAGTAGTTGTCATGCTTGACAAGCGGGTTGGCAAGCGCAGTTAGGCTTTTAGTGATGTTTTAAGAGGGACGTTACTCCCCATCCCCGTATCATGAAATTATATATAGACAATCTATATAAAGACATCGTTAAAAATAAACATAAATTTTATAAATTAAAAGAGAAGGTTTTTGGTATAAGATACCTATTAGTTTATACTTATAGTACGTAAAAGTTCTGTTTATCCCGGGATCTAGATGGCGTTGAGTGATGTTTAAAGTTATTATTAATACATATTTACTTTAAGAGAAGAACACTCGAATTTCTTACACTATTTTACTACTGAAGCTACTTGCCGAATTCATGTAAAAAACAAAAAATAGTTTTGCTCTTTATATTGAAGCGATCATTTTTTATTAAGTTTTGATGGGTCTAGAATATCACATTTCAGAATGGACTCTGGAATATGAAACTCCAGAATCCATTCATGTCACGTCATTCTCCAGAATGTATTTTTTAGAATTATCACGATATACGCTTACCGATTCTTTTTCGTGCAGGTATCAGAATGTTGGACCAACCCTACATGACAGACCTGATCGAGGCGAACTCTATGGGACACGAACCTCACAAGATCCACATCTATAGCGCGTCATGGGGCCCCACGGACGATGGAAGGACAGTGGATGGACCCAGGAATGCTACCATGAGAGCTATAGTGAGGGGAGTTAATGAGGTAAGATTTTTATTTATTTCTTACTCATAGCAACGAGGTTTTTTTTATAGGTGATAATGAAATAGTAACCCCACCCGCGCTATCGGTATATACCGGCGGGGCACCAGTGAAGGATGCTAGGTGAGGAGATAAAGTAGAGAACGAGAATTGTTCACGATGGTTTCCAGGGGAAATCAAGTGGAGGTTGACCTGATATATGCTATTGCTAGCTATAGGGCTGTCAAACTCCATTACTAACAATCCCTTCCCCTCATAGCAACGAGGTTGTATGCAAATAGAAAAACAGATGCCATCTAGAAAAATATCTTTAATTTTAATATACATATAAAATGAGAAATAATATATTCCTACTTATAAATGGGGAAAAGAGTTTGTTTGTATATCATCTGTTAGTGCGTTAAGGGGTCAATCAATCGTCATTATTTTTTTAATAATCATAGTCATCATCATTATATCATCATATCAGCCATTACCCCTGCAATGACGAACATAAGCCTCCTTCTTAAGGGGGGGGGGGGGAATTTCAGTAGTATTGCCACGTTCGGCAATAGGGTTGAGAACTGCAGTTAGTCTTTGGTGATGTTTAAAGAGAGACGTTACTGCCCATAGCATTCAAGATGTAAAGTTATATATTATGTATATATAGTCTACTTTTTTTCTCTAGTCAATCTATATGTCCCAGTTATGCAAATGAATTCGCCAGCTAATTATTGAAAAAAAAAAACATTACTTACTCAATAAACCAAAAACCCTTAAAATTTACACAGGGATTGCTAGTGTAACATAAGTAAATACTAAAATGGTTTCTAGGAAAACAGTTTCGCGTCAAAGCCAAATCTCGCAGTTTCCTTCGGCAATATATTACTAAGTAACAGTCGTAAATCTCGTGAAAAGGACTTTGACATTTTCAACTTCGATGTACAATTAAAGTAAAAACATCTAAAAATAACGTAGGTATTTTATACTTTATTTTTAAAACAAACGATGTAATTAAGCAATTAACAAAAAAATTGTACCCACAAAAGGTATTTCAATGTTATTTCAATTAATAACACGCGACCCAAATTTATTTGAGCGAGGGATTACGTCGCTCGCACCCACAAAACAATTTTCTGTTCGGGATTTTTCCATCAATCTCTAAAAGACTCATTAGTGAGCGATGGGAAAAATATATTTAGGTATTTTATTTCTTGCTGTTAATATTCACTGACCGGATTACCTCGTAATGAGCCAGTGGGTGTGTTTTATATAAATTATCATGTTGCACCGGTTACTTCCTTTTAAGTAATTTTATTTAACAGAAATATATTGTAGGTCAATCATCATCATCCTTTCAGCCTTCAAGTAACCACGGCAACATCATTCAACATATATTGGCCTACAATTTGGCATGTGGTCCCGGCATAGAACAGATCACCCCTTCCTTTCCCGTGGGTATTGTAAGAGGCGACTAAGGGAGGGCGAGATGGACAGCAACGTCCCACTTAAAATATCTCCAAAGTTTAACTGCGGTTGTCAATGTGCTGACAAAACCCTCCAAGGGGGAGGCTTATGTTCAGCAGTGGACAGTTAAAGGCTGGTATGATGATGATGATGATGATGATATGTTGAATAAATTAACGAGTAAGAAAAAAAGTGTTAACAAATCTAAACTATTATGATATAAATAGTTCATGTTACGTAGCGAGTCGTCGTTAGATAAAGTTACGTTCTTCTTTGTCAATAATATAATTATATAAAACATGAAAAATACATTTAACTTTTTTTTATATCATCAATGTAAAAACTTCAAGATTCACAACCTCATATAAAAGTTATCTACTTTTAAAACTGTCCCAAATTTATTGAAAATAAGGAGTTATTATTAAAAAAGCCATGAGAAGATTCGAATACTGAACGTAAATAAAAACTGAAGTTCACATTTTTTAAAAGGTTAAACCTTAAACGTTTTATTCAAGTTAAGATGTTACACGAGTACTTATACAAAATGAAGAAGAATATTTCGGTATATTTGACAACAAACGGATGGATTATTGATTAGAAAGGAGTGCAAATTGCACAAAATTTTTAGTTCTCTTTTTTAGTCTCTGATTTATATATCTAGGTTTTTTTTATACATCAATAATCTCATTACAATTACGTAAATATACAGTGCATTTATTATTAATGTTTCTTCAAAAGTTATTAAATAGGCTTCAAAGGGACAGACGGTAAGTTCTTAGTATATTTATTTTTTCCTATTTCATTCTATCGCTCTGATATGTTTTCTAGGAAAAACTCCTCTGGCTCTTTCAATGTTAAGATCCAACTCCTGATGGTACTCGGAATTAAATGAGACCTTTTCCAGAAATTACGGGATCACAGAATAGAATGTAATTTTCTACTGAATTTACTAACTCGTAATACAGCTTATACTGACATTACGTTGGTAAGTATTGGGCAAATAGTGAAAACGGTTCACAGAAAAATAAACATGAACACTGTTAATGTAACTTGGTATATGTATTTTGAAAATGTTAGCACAATGTTTGTTATCCATTCTATAAAAACAGTTGGTGAATTTTCACTTCTTTTTTATGCAACTTAGAATGGCAAACAAACTGACGGTCCACCTGATGGAAAGGGGTAAACGTCGCTTATACTCGTATACATGAACAGTATCATGGACATAATAGAGTATACCGTGTCGCCAATGCGTTGCCATTCTTAAGGACTAAGGTATTATGCCTCTATTCCCTGTAATTTCATTTCCATATCCTGCGCTTTAAACTGAAACAAAGACATGTAACACAACAATAAAACACGATTGCTTCACGGCAGAATCACGAATGGAAAAGAGGTACTCAACCAGACGACTTTTGTACAAAGTCTCCCTGTGATTCTCCACTTAATATCTTCTCTATCTATGTATGAATTTAACCTTTAAAAGATTTGTTATATTGAACATTTATGAATTTATAGTTTATTTATTATTAATGTCAACAGTTAATAAATCTTTCTCATTTGGTTTGTGTCTTGAATATTCAATCCCAGCTATTACAAAAAATGGAATTGTGTTTTACAACAAAACCGACATCAATTTTAAAATGAGTTATTTTGATTTAAAAACTAAATTACGATAACTATTTTGATAAAATTTCTATGACACTAATCTATAAGTAAATTCTTTCAGATAAAAAAATATTTTTCCAAATCGGTTTACAACTGACGGAGTTATGGAGGTAATATGATTGCTTGGGTACCTCTGTCTCATTCGTGTTTCAACCGTGAAGCAGTTGTGTTTCGGTTTGAAGGGTGGGATATGGCGTGAATTTACAGAGTACAGAGGTATAACACCTGAGTTCTCAGGAATGGCAACGCATGGGGGTATCATGGGCGAAACAGTATACTCTGTAAAAACGGAGGAGAGAATGGTTCATATTTTTCAAACAAAACCCTGTAGCTTTTACTTCAATGTTTACATTTTCAATAAACAATCTATTAGATACTACCAAAAAATCATCCATTTTCTGATCAATCGAGTGTATAAATAATTATCTTAGTACTATCACTACTTAATATTTCCAAAGTGCCTAGATACTAATAAAATAGGACACGCTTTATAAAGTTTCCTATATATCTGTGATCATCCAATTTATTGATTTCATAAACTGACATAGAGGTAAATAAATATAAAAAATATCTTTATCTACAGAAAATTTTTCAACTGACGAATATATTTTTCTACTAAAATGATATCGCCTTATAGAAATATAATACATGATCGTGATTTATAGAATCAACAAGTAAATAGAAATAGCTGACGATAGAACAAATATAATAACAAAAAATACTAATACATTTAGCAAATATACGTATTTACTGTGAAGTGTTTGCAGTAAGCAATTACATTGAATATAATTTTATTCTCTTCAACTACAATCTTTTTTTTTTATTATATGCAATTAAATGTTATTAAATTTATTTATTTATTTCTCATTTATTAGCGTTACCCGTAATTTTGCACCCACTTTTAAATGGTATCTCAAAATAATAAACATATTCTTACATATTCGACATAGAAAAGGTTCTCCTTTCTTTCCTGTGGGTGTGGTAAATGGAGATTTTAAAATGTCACCAAAGCCTAACTGCGGTTGCCAAGCAACTATTGGTAATACTCACCGTATGGGGGAAGTCTATGTTAAATAGTGGATAGTGAACGGCTGATATGATGATGATGGTGATGATGATGATATTGAAATTATGTTCGTCTGCAACGTGAATGTACGTGAGTAACCTGAGGATCGCAGATTATTTTCTGACTAGACATTCATGTCGGTGACCGTTGAATATTTCGGGTGTGTAGTTTATTTTAATAGAATAAAAAAATGTAAAGTAATCAATAATTGGCAGTCTGCTGATGACCAATATAGAACCTAATAAAAATCGATTAATTAATTTAATTATTGAATTTCTAATTAATTTCATTTAGAGAAAGTTTCTTAGATAATTTCATTTGATTTCAGTAGACGTTAATTTCATTAAACAATAAAGAGACTATAAAATTGGACTTTTGAAATTACGTTCCACGATAGTTCTTTGTTGTTGCTATATCAAAGTTTTTGCAGCTGTCGGCCATGATACGGCTCATGTGTTGTCTCTAGAGGGTAAACTAGTTATACCTATTATAGGAGGGTGAGGTGGGAGGTCTCCTTATCAACATACGCATTTCTTTTTCACGGGAAAAATATAAATAAACTTGGTCCAGCCAACAACACGAAATTCTGCTATCTAATAAATAAATAAAACTGATAACGGCAGCAATAGCTAATATTGTTGCGTAGTTTTTTTTTTGTTAATTTACGAAACTGGAATAATGATTCGAGTCTATTAAATTTGCATCGAAATTTGACTCTAATTTATTTTCTAATTAATTATTTGTTGATTATATTAAGATTTATTTTTTTCCTACGAATTATTAAAATATTATACAGTGGACTTAATTCGATTATTGAGCTGAG